GAGGTGCAGAATGAACCCTACACGACACAACTATCACAATTTGCAAAGTCAATCAGAATGAGAAGAAGCGTATAGATGCTAACCCTGCATTGCAGATCTGGATGGATACGTTGCTTCAGAATCCCACACTTCTCAACTATGCCACACCCCAGCAGCCTTCCTTTCACCTACCACTGGATGAATATTCAATGTTCGAGGTTCGTGAAGTATTTGCCTCTTGCACTTAGCATTTTTCAGATAATGAAGTTGGACGTCCGTGATGATTTGTTGGCTTTCGCATGGCGTATACTTTTCACCTACATTTTTCTCCGCCCAGTACTCTTTGTGACGTGTAATCCAGCGCAACCTACTCCTGTATACCTCTCCCTCTCATTATGATAGTTGTGTCGTGTAGGCTTTATAACACCTCTATTCTGCATTATAATTAGTTTTGATTTGTCACATATGTGAGTTAGTTGAGCGTTGACAATCAACGTGGCACGTAGCAGTGAGTTCAAATTCTGCGATTGGCGGTAATGTCGAAAACACGGTGCAGTGGAAGAGGGGTGGATCACTATGCCAACCGAAAGTGCCTTCCCCATCATTGCCCTTGCCGCCACTGGAACCACCACCAGTGCTATTGGTGGCTGGAGTTGGGGTGGAGTCGTCAAAAGCCACAGTACCACCAATCACAAAACTGAACCCATTTCTTTGGCACAATATCCGGTTGTCCGGGCACCGCAACTCACTTCGTTCGAACAGAGACTGTGGAGGTCTCCTGCGAATTACTCAATGGAGATTTATTCAAGGAATGGTCAAAGCCCAGGGAGAGCAGCGAAGGAAAACATAAACCAGGAGCAAAGCGAAACACAATTTCGAGGCGCTGATAAGCTACAAACAGAGATGCGTGGAAGACGTATCAGGGAGACTGACTGGCGTTGAAGATGCGTTGGATGACGATGCGGCGGATGACGGCGAAGCCGATGACGACGAGGCGGCTGGTGATGGCGATTGAACGGACGTTGGGGAGCCAGGCGGAAGGGAAGGTGATTGAGCTGATAAGGGTGAAGTTCGTAAGAAGTCAGCTATGTACTTGCATTTTGTTATCACGTCCCGATTGTGTGAGTGTGTATGGTGATTCCTATTTCTCCGTAAAGTGTCATGCCCGTTATTTACAGCAGCTGGAGGGCCTGGAAGCTATTCGTATTCGGACGCAAAAGCCTGATCTTTGTAAGCAAAAAGAGCATGTTGTAGCACTTAGGTTATTTTCGTGAGTCTACACCCCTTGTTTATGATTTTTTTTCTGCACTTTCGAGGTCCATTTTTCATGCTCACTTGTCACACTTACATTTTTTCTTTTTTGTAGGTCCCACTTTTGTAATACTTCCGTGTCATGTGTAAGACTCACTTGGATTTTTAATCTTTGCTTTTTGGCTTGATCACTTTAGTTGCTGCCAGGTTAGGCCTTTTTTGTGCCGCGCTGATGAGTTCTCAAGGACGAAGCAGTTCTGTCCGCATATTGAGTATTTGAATAATTTTTATTATTTAAAGGATTTTCCAAAGGCATATCCCGTAATCAACAACCTTAGTAGCCTCTATCAGGTTGGACACCTATTTCTCTGTGTTGGGCGGAAGAGTTCAGTAAGGATGAGACAGTGCTGTTCGCAGATTGATTTATTCTAACATCTAGAAAGCTAGGGCTATCGTCCTTGTCTAATTATTTCTGTTATTTTGCAGGACACTGACCAACGGTACTGACGTTCTACACCTAACTGGCAATCAGCTCTAGCACATCTTGGAAGGTTCTAAGTTATAGAAATAATATAAGGAGGGGAAGGTGAGCGCAACCAAGATAAGCACGGGCTGAAAATATCAGCTGTGAAGGACGTTGGCGGATGTACACGTACGTCGATGATGATACTGGCAAGACCTTTGGACAACACGGTCAAATCACGATTCAAGGACGGAAAGCAACTTTACACGGAACTGTTGTGGCGCAAAGATGCCAAGATCAATTAAAGGGAAAGGTATGCGAGCAGGAATCATGCAAAACTGAACGCCTGAATAATATCTTGGGCCTTGGTTGCTTGGTCCTTTTTCTTTTCTAGAAATTTATCTTTGGCTCTCCATCCGGGTCAAATCTTGCACACCTGATTAGCCATCCTTATCTGTACGGCGAAACAATCATCCTGTGCTGCATGTTGTTTCTGCTTATTGTCCTTCTAAATTGTCAAAGTCAACGTTCAGTGCTGTTTTATTGGGGCGTTCGGATTTCCTTGGTCCTTTTTTCTTTTCAATAAATTCATCCTTGGCTCTCCATCAGAGTCCATAGTGTGTTTTCAAAATGATTCGGTGCATTCAGTGCAAGTGCAGGGTTAGACAACAAAAAGAATAGAACGTACCCATGGTAGTGGCTGGATCCGTAGGAATAACTGCAAAATATAACGGAGACAGATGCACACACACAGATACCAGCACACAGACACCAGCACACAAAGCGCATGCGTTATAAACAGAAAGACATAAGAATGCTATGTCTTTCTGTTTCATATAATTATTACAGGGTGCGACATATCTCTCGGCCGATGTATAAAATGTTTATATCACCTCAACCACTACACTGCGCTCTCAGCCGACTAGACCCTCCTGCACACAACCATACCCACTGCAAGGACATTTCTATTGACGGTATTAATAACTTGTATTTCTTCACACACTTTTACCTAATACATGGCTCATCAGTGAAGGCTAATCGAAGTGGAGTAGAATATACATAACCAAACTGCTGTGAGGTTTTTCACACCGACTTCTCATAATTATACATTGGCAGTCTTCTGACGAGCCAGGAGATGTTGAATTAATAATAATAATAATAATAAGTATCTATTATTGCACGATTAAAGAGGTCAATATATGAAATATAGAACGAGTAAAAGACCGAGGTCCCCCGAGGTCTTTTACGAGGTCTATATTTCATATATTGACCGATTATGAGGGCAATAATAGATTTATCACGACAAAGCATACCTAAAACTGCTTTTGCTTTGCTATAGGAAGAAAGGAATACTATTGTTATAGTATAATAGTATGTACATATGCCGTTTACATTGGACATTACTTCTGTGTAAACCGAAGTTTTCAGTTGTCTCTTGTAGTATGTTCCCCAAGTTCTTTGACTGAGAATCTGACAGTTTGGGTTCAAATTCCAGCACTTGGCTTCAGATTTTTCTTCTTTCAGTTCTGATTTTTTTCTAAGTTGAGGAAAAAGTTCTAAGTCCTCGGGCTAAGTGGTCAATAATAAGTGGTCAATATAAGCGGTCAATATATGCTGATATTTGACCGCTTAGAGATCACAAGTTTCTGTGGGGGTCAATAATAAGAGAGTGATAATAACATACAAAGATGAACATTACAGTGTTATGCCCCAGGGGCTGCTGGGGCTATCGACGTCGCGGGTCGTGAGGTGAGTTTTCAGGCTTTCATGGCGATTTCACAAGTGCACTACACCGACTCTTACTAGTTACACAGTACACTGATTCTGACACATTAGTTCTGCATTGAAAGTGATTTTCCTAAGGGTGTGCTGACTCAAATAATATAATCCTAATTTTCGGGCCAGGCCTTCAGGAGTATTGATAGTATTAGATAAAGATTTTCCGCGCTGAATGTCTGACGCTGCATGCATGTCCCATGCGCGTCAACAGTACTTCACACTTTCCTTTTCCCACACTACCACCTCAGCTATGCCTAACCTTGGCAAGATGGTAGTGTAGTCCATGTTCCATTAGCTTGGCACGTCACTGAAGACGGCATTGAGATAGTATCGAAACCAAGCGTACATGACACAGTAATGCCACTGCCAGTAGTACTCTTGGGTATAGTCATCACTGTTGTTGAGTTTAACTCTGGACAATGTGTTGCTGTGCATAGAACCAAAATACCAAAGAAAACAGATCCATGCATACCGAAAGACCAAATGGAAAGCGAACTCCAATATCAACAGAGTTATCTTTTGGCAGAGGCCATGGTCAATAAACGGATATTGCTCCGAATTCTGATGATCTTGTTATAACTCAGAGGTATAATTATAGCTCTCGCGTTAAGTATTAAGACAGCTGAAACGGACCGTGTTCATTTGAGTGGATTTCTTGGTATATAGTCTCCACATGACTGGTATCAATTCCCAGTGGTACAGCTGTGTTCAGTGACGAATTGGAGCAATAATCTACTTCTTACAATGCCATGAAACAATTGGCTCACGCCACTGCACAATAACTTAGATATTGACATTAGTGGTCACCAGCGTTCTGTATTCACCATACCACATGCTATAGCATATCTTTTGAAACGCAAGAATCGGGTTTGTGCTATAAGAGGGCAAGGCACTTACAGTGCCATGAAAAAAGGGGAGAAATAACACCTGTAACGAAGCGACACTAAGAACTACTTTAAGTAGTAATACAGAAGACCAAGTGTGTGAACAAAGTCGAAACCAAAATAGGCGCTAACTGTCACAGGATAAATCTAAAACATCAACAACATGGATAAGTGAGAAAATATCTGCGCAGGGCTGGCGAAACAAACCAATACTTGAACAATTTTAAATGAAGGAACTTACGTTGACATTTGCCCATGGTCCACTGGAGGTTTTGTCCACAAATACAGTTGACCGCTGCCGTTCCCGCTACATGATGACAATCCACCACATCAGTGTCATTGCAATTCAAGATGCACCCTGGAGGGAAGAAATGGTATTATATTACCTTCGACCTTGTAATGATGGACTTTGGCTTCAGGTGACATCCTCCATCGAATTTTGCAGCCCCGTCAATTGACGATACTCTAAAAATCTAACCGTCTAACAAGGCGATGCCGAAGGCCGAACCTAGAAGGCGCTGACAGGCTTTGACTACAAGGGCCAAATGTGAATGTTTGTTTGTTTGGAACTGACACTGGATATTCCTTAAATATTTGGGTTTTCCTTGCGTAACTGGTGTACTTCGAGGTAAAGACTTACTTTCACACAATGGTTGACTTGGTTGCCACCTTCCATTGCCCTGGCATGTAGACTGGGTTATTTCCATTCTATTGTTAGACAGAAAACCTTCTATGCATTCGATGGATACTGTGGTACCTGGTAGTGTGTTGAAACTGGCAACAGGCTTGTAATTGAACTTGCTGTCAGTGAGAGTAGGACATTGCGCTGTGAACAAAGAGACAACATTCAATGCAGTTACTCACAATAAGTAAACATCCCACAACTAAAACCATTACTATGATGATCCATAGAGATAGAAACAGACAATATTTTGGTAATTACACGGAACATGGGTATGCCCAGACCTGGTGCACTTGTCCATGTTCTGTTGAAAACTAATTATTCACAGATTTCAATAGGACATAGGACAAGAATATGTGACAATTTGATGAAACCTGCAAAACGAATAACAACCGATGACAGGAAAACAACAACTTTTGGAATGGGAGAGCATGTACGGTTTTGCAAGAAGTGTGCTCGGTGTGCGTGGGCAATTGTCATGGAGAGATGACCATCAGTACATTCACCCAGTTATCCGACATGTTAGCCCACGTTATGTAGAAGGTGATGGAAGTTGAAGATTCTCAATAGCTTCAGCTGCAATGCCAGCAACCGAACAGCAGCAAATATTAGCAGCTAGTGCAGTGCCAGAGGTTACCTTACTTTGTTCAGTTTATCTCTGGATGAATCCCCCTTGGCCACGCTCGTACGTGGCACAGGTGATGACAAATGGCTCAGTATGCCTAGAAAGTGGCCAGGTGTTGTGCATTTCCGATAGCACTCTCAACCATGTCAGTTACTAGCTCTATACTCAACATACAATACGTGTGAACATCAGTGCTGTGCATTGTGATCTGCATGCATTTCTGACATGTACATTTGACTTCATAGTCTAATATCTTCAAAATGTACCCTTGAAGTTCATTACAGTCTACTACAGTCTAAGCAAGCGGGATATAGATTATGATAGATGTCTCATGCTTGTACAAACTCAAAACACGACGGCATCAGTGAGTCAGATACAAGGGTCATGACGTATAAATGCATGTATATTCTGTCCTCCGACTCCTGACATACAACGGAGGTAAACGGCTGTGTAGCATGCGTGCCTGATTTCAATCGGTCACATTATTGCAGAGCACTTCAAGATTCACGCGCGGACGGGCAGCAAATGCCACGTAGATGAACTAGATGGCCCAGAATCTGCGAAAACCAGGCTTAGGGTGAAAATCATTTTTTTGAGAAAAATGATGTTTTGTAAAAAGGTTGTGTCGCATGGACGATCGAGTGCAGTGAAGTGGAACCAAAGAGAATCTCGCTTGTTTGAAGAAGTAGCAGTCATGGCAGGAAGGGTTTCAGCAGTCAGGGAAGTCAAAGGGCTTCCGGTAGAATATTCCCTGCTAGCATGCTACTCCTCTAGTCACAACGAAGAGTTTTTGAACTGATCGAACGGATTCCATCTCCTACACTCAGGGATGGCGAAATTTCTGCGCTAGCTGCTACTTGCGGAAAATGGTGAAAACATCGTCTCCAGTTAGAGTCGTGATGGCGATAGCGAGGAGAACCTGGACGACATCGATCCAGCCAATCGAAGTACGGAGATACTAGCTGTTTCTGGGCCTCATGCAAAGGGAGCACGCTGATGTGTGTCTATATTCATTACGTCATAGTTGTACTGCATGCACGCACACACACAGATTAGTTGAGTGTGCTTCTTTTTCCTGTTGTTCTTTCTCATGACATGTTTTGTTTCTGTTCCCAAGTCTTCACGAATAAATAGTAACGTATCATGGCGCAGTGAACTTGTTCTTTCCTGTGTCCGTGCCTTGTGTCCGCACCTTGTAGTGTTTGCACGGGCCCAGTTGTTTTTCCGTATGAAGTAGTAGTTTCCGCGATCGAAACTCTGTCTCAGTTGAATTATTTTAGTAGTGTATTTGTTCGTACTCGTGGACGAGTGACTAATCGTAATGGAACAATCACAGGACGATACCGGATTTGACCTGTCCTCCGCGACCGAGCGACAGCAGGAATCTCAAATGGGTGTCCTGATGAAATTTATGGAGCAGCAGATGCGTGCAGCTGAGGCTCGTGATAAGGCGATGCAAGATCTGTTCAAGAATGTTCAGAGCAGGTCGCTATCACCATCGCAGCATCAGTTCACTCCGCAGCCCTCAGCACCAGCTCAGTCCACCTCGCAGACCTCAGCACCACGGCCAGTGAACAGTGTTTCCTGCCCACACTTATTGTCGTCTGCGACGCTGGCTGATTTTCACTCCTTCGTTGAAAGCTGGAGAGATTTTAGTGTTTGCCAGCATTTGGCCAGCCAGGCTCGTGAGGCCAGCGTGGCAACACTCCGTCAGTGTTTCGATGAGGAGCTGCGACGTTTTATCCGAGAGGATTTATTTTTGCATACCAGCTTCAGCTGACGTCGACCTGATGCTGGAGCGCATTCAGGCGTATATCAGACGGCAACGTAATCCACTGTTGGACCGCATAGAGTTTTACCAGCGTGTCCAGCAAGCTAGAGAATCATTTGATACGTTTTACACAGCCCTGTGTGAACTACAAAGTGCATGCGACTTCTTGTCACACAGCCTATGTGGAACGTGTGATGCTCGCTGCTGTGCGCAGTGCAAAGGCCTCGGCCGTACACTCAAGGAGGAATCTCTGCGCGACCGCGTCGTAATTGGTGTGCGGAACGATGAGACGCGACACAAGTTGCTCGCAACTCATGGTCTCACGCTCGACCAGGCTGTCACCCTCTGTCGGACGGAGGAAGCAGCATACCACACCAAGGCACACATGCCCAGTCCTGGCCTCCAGGCAAGTGCTGCCAAGCAGTCGGCGTACAAGCAGCAGAAACGTCACAAGCCAGCTGACTCTAAGCCAAGTGAGACATCAAGTGCGGCCAAGTCCACTTGTCCAAATTGTGGTCGTTGTGACCACACGAAATCTTTATGTTCTGCCAAGGGCAAGAAGTGCAACTCCTGTCATGGCATTGGGCATTTTCAGCGAATGTGCAAAAGCCAGAAACAGCCGAAGACTAGCTCTGCTGCCAAGCTTGGACAGCTGAAGCTACAGCGTGCGCCTCGCGTGGACCGTCGCACAGTACCTGTTTCGACCATGCTGCAAACAGAGGATCAGCCATCCCAACTGTCCTGGACACCAGACACAGGCAGTGACGTTGATGCCATTGGCGAGGAGCACCTCACGCAGATCGGTGGGTTCGTCGAGAACTTAGATGACGACCACGACTGTGTGCAGGCTGTGACCGGTGAGCCGCTACGCAACCTGGGCAAAATACGTGCGACTCTACGAGTCGGTGAGACGCAGCATGAAACCGTCATTCATGTGTACAAGGGTCTACACGATGCCCTGCTGTCTCATACCTCATTGCGTGCGCTGAAGTTTCTCCCACCTGATTGGCCAGTCCAATTCACTGCTGAACACGAGGGTGCATCTTCACCCAAGATCTGTGCAGCTGTTTCGTCATGCGCTCATCCTAGTGATGCTAAGTTCGCGCGGACACGTGAGCAGCTCCTGCAAGAGTTCGCTGACGTTTTCTCGGATTCCGGTCTGAAGCCAATGGAAGGTCCGCCAATGGAAATTGAGCTACAGAACGATTCTAAGCCTTCCTGTGTGTACACTGCTCGACCAATACCGTATGCGTTCCGTGACCAGATCAAGACTCAGCTCGACGGCGTGGTCAGCGACGGGATTATTGAACCAGTGACGGAGCCCAGTGAATGGTGCCATCCGATTGTCATAGTAGACAAGAAGGGCAGCACTGAGAAGCGCCTCACAGTTGACTTCAAGCGGCTGAACGACCAAGTCCGTCGTCCCGCGCATCCCGTACATACGGCACCTGACGTTGTCTCTGGAGTTGGCTCTGCTAAGTTCTTTACGAAGCTCGATGCAAGGCTTGGCTACTGGCAGATTCCTCTCAGTGACACTGCTCAGGAATTCACCACGTTTATCACCCCGTACGGCAGATATCGTTATCTACGAAACCCGCAGGGTCTAATATCTGCTGGGGATGAGTTCAACCGGCGCACTGACGCTGCGTTCTCTGCCATCCCGCGTCTTGGCAAGGTAGTCGATGATTGCCTAGCGTACGATGACGACTTTCTGTCGCATGTCAGCCACGTGCGCGAGATTCTGCTCTGCGCCAGGGAGCATGGTATCACGTTCAGCCCCGCCAAGTTTGTGTTCGGTACGCAACGTGTCCATTTCTGCGGCTACAACGTCACGCCTGATGGCTGGGTCGTCGACGATGATAAGACGTCCGGTATTCGCCAGTTTCCAGTACCCGCCAACAGAACTGATCTCCGTTCGTTCCTCGGTCTAGTGAACCAATGTGGCGAGAACTCGCCACATCTAGCCGAGTTGACCAATCCTCTGCGTGGCCTGCTCAAGACCTCCCGTGAGTTCATGTGGGACGCTAGCCACACTGCAGCGTTTGAACGGACACAGGAAGCTCTCTTGTCTCCTTCGGTTCTCGCATTCTATCAAGTTGGTCAAGACCTCCGGCTTGAAACCGATGCATCCGCTCTAAGAGGTCTCGGATTCGTGCTTTGGCAAAAGCAGAATGATCAGTGGCGTATTATTCAGTGTGGATCCCGCTACCTGTCTGATGCTGAAACACGTTATGCTGTCATCGAGTTGGAAATGCTCGCTGTAGTATGGGCCGTGCGCAAATGCCGCATCTACCTGTCTGGTGCGCCATTTGAAGTCGTCACCGACCACAAGCCCCTGATTCCGATCATCAACTCATATTCGTTGGATCAGATCGAGAACCCGCGTCTTCTACGATTACGTCTCAAGCTCCAAGCCTATCAGCTGCAGGCATCTTGGCGAAAAGGTTCTGAAAATGCCTTCGCCGATGCACTGTCCCGGAATCCTGTTGGCATTCCTTCCACCACTGATGAGCTTGGTGAAGCCCCGTCGCTTCATTGCCGCAGCATTCAGATCTGCATGGTGCACTCGCACACTGAGCCGAATGCGAATCTCAAGGTTGCAGAGCTGCGGGAAGCTGCAGCTGCAGATACCACGTACCAGTCATTGATTGAGTGTATCTTGACTGGATTCCCTGATCGCCAGCAGAAGTTGCCTGCTCCGTTACGTGCGTACTGGAATGGACGTGAGCATCCCTCCGTCGACCATGG